GTTGTGCTGCTGCCGTGGTCCTGCCAGATGCCTCCTGCTGCTGCTGCCATCATTAGTCATTAGTCATACTTCTACTGTTATTATACACATATGACTATTGTCACACATGTATACTGCCAGATATTAATACATACTTTCAACATATTGTACCACAGTAGCCAGAACTATAACTATAATATTATTACTTTCAATAATGTTGTTGTAAGCTACTGTTATTACCTGCATCTCTCTCTCTGTCTCTGTCTCTCTCTCTCTCTCTCTGTCTCATTGTGTCATGCGGATTACTGTTAATTTATTATGCTGATCTGTTCTGTACGACATCTATTGCACGTCTGTCCATCCTGGAAGAGGGATCCCTCCTCAGTTGCTCTTCCTGAGGTTTCTACCGTTTTTTTTCCCCGTTAAAGGGGTTTTTTTGGGGGAGTTTTTCCTTATCTGCTGCGAGGGTCATAAGGACAGAGGGATGTCGTATGCTGTAAAGCCCTGTGAGGCAAATTGTGATTTGTGATATTGGGCTTTATAAATAAAATTGATTGATTGATTGAGAGTGACTGAAGTTTGAATGAACCTCAGGATAATCACACTTCGGGACAGCGAAGCTTCTGAAGGCTCAGCTGAACCTGCTGCACAGCCAAATATCAGACCTAATTACCAGACTAAAGCTAATGTTGCCTTCAGGTGCTTCTCATGAAACCAGTTAAATTATATCAACACTCAGTGGGAAAGTACCAGGAAACAAAAAGTGTCCTGCTGCAGTGTCACTTGAAGTTCCACCGCATATATTCATGAACCACTCAGAATTAAGTATTTAATAAAAGTAATCAAAACCAAAACTGTAATCTCTTTGGAGACTGAAAGAAAATCAAAAACATGTCAACAGAAATGAAATGTGAAAAAATATCCTAGTAATAGAAACTGGACGATGGATGACATTTAAAAACAATGAGAGCGTTTCATTACAGCACTTAAAAATAAAATAAATAAAAATGCTCCCGGCACTTTTTTTATTGTAATGAAATGGTGCTCGTTGGTTTGTTTCTATGACAACGATATACTGACAGTAACTTTAGCTGGGCAGCTAATGTAACACATCACTAAGAGAGCGCTGACTCCAGAGTCAGCAAGTTTACAAATCAATCGGTGACAGAGCACGACGCACAGCATCCGCCAGCCGGTACTGATGGTAGACATCAGCTATAGCTAAAAAAGAGAGGCAGTGATGTGAGCAGCGCCTCTCTGAAAAGGTCAGATTTTCAACTACAAGCGCTCAAAGCGGGCGCACAAAAACTGTGGAGTGCCGCGTACACTCTCTTCTCACTGGGAGTAAGTAAGTAAAATCCATTATGTGGACACAGATCATAAATGAATAACGTCCAACTACACTGAAATAAAGGCTTAAAGGGACAGTTAACCCAAAATCAAACAGACATATCTGTTGTTCTGTTTTTTAGTCTGTCGGTGTTGGAGATATCAGCCGTGCAGATGTCTGACTTATGAACATTAGGAATTGTGCATCTACTCATAGATGAGAAGATTCATGCTCCTGACAGCATGAGATGTAAACATTAATAAACATTAATGGTGTCATTCTCAGCTGAGCTGTAATGTTAATTAGCTCAGTGGTGCTAAGTGAGCTCATAGTAGATGCAGCTTCCTTCTGCATAGTGATACAGTCAGTGGGTGTAGTTTATTAGAAAAAAAATAGTTCCTACATGAAACTGCTCACAAAAAAGTCTGTGGATTATCTGGAGTGAACGGGTCATGATTTGTGCAAAGAAACATCAATGTTGAGTTTCTACAACAGATTTAGTTCTATTATGTTGGAGAGCAGGCAAACATCTTTACAGCTGATGCCTCCAACACCCAACATTCATTTTGGGGTGAACTGTCCCTTTAAACTGAAAAGAAGGGGTATAAAACTTGAAGCTGCTTTCAGTAGTCCAGCTATAACACCTCAGTTTACATGCTTCACTTCAATATAGAGCTGAACAGCTGCCGTCTTTGCTTTTGGATATTTTCTGACCTGTATGGATTCAGTTAAAGCGTGCATGGTTATAACTGATGATTCTCAACAGGCCAAACATCCAAACATCTCATCGCTTTAAGTTTACACACTCACTGCTCACTTTTAGCTACTGCCAAGGACCTGAGTGTTCATGGAAAACATCAGGATTGAGATGTTTGAAGTGAACGTCAAAATGTTAGAAAACAAAGGCTTTGTAATTTCTCCCTGAAATTAGGTCACTGTTTTATCAACCTTCAAAACACCTCACAGGTGAGATGAGGTCACGTGTATTTATCTCACCGCTTTATGGATGGAGCCCCACTTCCTGTTTCCCAAGTCAGTAAAAACATTTTTCAGATGTCAATAATCTGCACAAACAAACAGAGAACAGTCGCTGAGCAGATCGCAGCTGATCTGGGTCGTACAGTTAATAATCCTGCGGCTGCACAGTAAACAACACGGACACTAAGTGGACTTATTGGAGGACTTAATTTATTCCTGGATGTAAATATGACTTAGGTACTTTTTATGTATTTAACTATTTATATTTATTTTTATTTTTGCTCCTCTACCTTTCTGAACCAAATATACTATTTATTTTTTACTCCAACATATCTTCCATTAATGCTCCAATCTATAATGAAAATACTGAATGATAATAAACTTAATTTATAAATCACCTCTCAAACAAGAAATGCAGCACAAAGTGCTTTAAAATAAGAAAATGATTTGCACTGAGTGCTTCACATAAAAACACACAGGATGAACATAAACCAGGCAAACAGGGAATTTAATATTAAGTAACTTCTAAAAACAGCTCGGATTTCAGATCCTATTTATCAAAATCATATCAAGTATTTTTCTTTTTGTACACAATTTATTTCCACACCATTTTGGTTTCTGATGTCACAACAATCGCAGCCTGTAATTCCTGACAGATACTGATTCACCAACGTCTGTCAACTCTTTCACCCCAAAACGTCTTCCTGAGAGTCAACTCATTAGTTGTAGCCACAGGACGCCTGAAATAATGGATGTAGCCACTGTGATGTCACCCACTGGTCTATGGACTCCCGTTTTGAAGCTTTGGACTTTGACATTTTTGATGCCACCATCTTGGATTTTTGGAGCCAGAAGTGACTACAGTTGAATGACAGGGTAGAGCTAACCCTAATGCTAGCTGCTAGCTTAGTTAGCACGGTGCATTTACAGCTGTCGATAACAGAGATGATGCTAATGCCAATTTTCACTAGAGTGACATCAAAATCCTTTTTTCAGTCAACCAAAATGGTACAGGTAACTCCCCTGACCTGAAAACACACTGAAATACAGACAGCTACACCTTAACTCTTTGAATCTGGTGTTACACTATGATCACGTTTCCTAACTGATGTTGTCACTGTGGTAGCAACCTGTTAATGTACATTACCAACCTGTCAGTCAAAGAGGCCCCACCGCCTAAATGATGTGTAACTTAATAAAGTCTTAATAAACTGTTAACAAGTGAGTTCAACAGAAGTTGTGATGAATACTGAAATGATCTGCAGAGACCAAACAGGCTGTAAACATGTTTATTTCTACATGTTAACATGGAGGTCTGTGGGGACGGACTCACTCTGGGAGCCAGCCTCTGGTGGACATTAGATGAACTAAAGGATGATGGAGGAAGACGATGTTATCATATGTCATCATATCGACTGACCAACAGACTCTCCTGGAGTTCCCTGAAAGGCAATTTGGGTTTATGCTAAATTAGATTTCGTTGGGACATTCAGCTTCGGCTGCTGATGATTACTCTTGGTGATGGATGGACTCGCACTAATCATGCATTAAATGTTTAATTGGCCTGTCTTAGAGGACAGAATAGAGAGGTACAGTATACACCTCTGAGTGTACATAGTATCTTTTAAACCCTAAAACCCTCACTGTTCTTCTCATCTGATGGCCTCTCCATCTGCATGTGATTAACTATATCTGACAGATGTTGAATTCAGAGCCGAATTAGCTCCAAACACACTCTGTATTTAAGCCAAATGCACTTGTGACTGATTTATTTACTGTGCATGGCAGACCTGATCAGGTTCTCTCACTCTATGGAAACACATACACATCAGCACCGACTCACAGGCAGCAGTCTGTGGGAAACTCGCAACATGCTGTGGGTGTAGAGCCAAAACTCCTGCTGAGATACTGGGACATATAGTGGACTCCCCAGTCTGTAGCTACTTGCCTCAAACACCTGTCCACCTCCAGCATTCAGTTGACTGAACTCTAATAAAGTTTCTGTTGCTATGGAAATGTTTTTTACTTACTTACTTACTTACTTTTAAAGTCAGACATTTACCTGCCAGTCCTCCAGCCAGCCAGATGGAACCAGGATGCGGGCTTGACATGGCGTCTGGCTTCAGCAGATCACAGAAGATGGAGTACGGGATGAAGTAGAGCACGTATCCAGGAACGTCCCTCAGAAGCATGGCCCCGCCCCCTCTGTACAGGCCCTGCAGGCCCTCACTCTGCAGGATGCTGCTGATGCAGTGGATGGGGCCTCGGTAGAGTCTCTGGCTGTTCGTGTCAATGGAGCGCAGAGGGATACTGGTGCCATTCGAAACATTGCCTGCGAGCTGCAGGTTCTCTGTAGAAGACGAATTAAATGTGATCAGCAGAACGTGCAGTTGTTGAGAGGTTTACTTTGTTTGTTTCCTTCAGGTCTGACTGTTGAACATCAGAGGAAACTGGCTTTATTCAGTTACTGGCTCATATATATATATATATATACATATATATGATATACAGTTTTTTGGGTGAAGGTGTCTGTTAACTTTAGCAGAGAGAATGTGTATGTCAGTGGGTTTTTTTCATTCACAATATTGAAAGAAAACGTAATGAAACCAGTGGGCGAGTTTGTAAAGAGACTGTCTCATGCATAACGTTCACGTCGGACCGTTGACTTTGCTGACTGACTGTACAGTGGGAGTGGAGCAACAAACTCTGGCAGGGTTAATGAAAAACTCTACTTCATCCAGTTCAATAATGACTAACTTTTTGATTGTGGTGATAAAAAAAACATTCACATTGCTCCATACACAATCAGGTTTATGGTATCAGAAGACGTCAGACACATCAGTCACAGCAGACTGTGCTGAAATAACATTCAGACTGTTGCCTGACACTTTCTGGCACGTTGCACCTTTATCAAAGAGTCTGGATCAACAGACGTCGTAAACAAATAAAATGCTATCGATGTTTCACGTGCCATCTCATCTTGTAATTAAACTGCTTCTGACCTCAGTTTTATTGCTTTTCTGTTTAACACAGCAACACAATTCCAAATAAAATCCCTGAGTATCAAACACTCTTCTTCTGCAGGTCTCAGTGAACCATCTCTGCATCATGTTGGTGTCAAAATAATCCTGGATCATCTTTAACCTTTCTAACTCTGCTCGGACGCCGGCGTCCATGCTCCCCTCCTTCTCTGTTAAATGGTATCTCCCAGGCGCACTACGTGATCAAACGGGGGCTGTGTCCGAGAGGCCCACTGGCATACTGCATACTACTACTACGTACTACCACTAGGTACTACTCCTACCTACTAAACAAGTTGGGTCCATTCGGACATACCAAAAGATTGGTGGGAAAACACTCCATCTGCTGGCAGAGCAGAGGTACGGCACATGTGCTGTACCTCTGCTCTGCCAGCGGATGGAGTGCCTACAAAAGCACCCCATCTGCTGGTTTGGCTGAGGTACTGCACCAAAATCTGAACGCACCTGTGACTATTGAAATTGCCCAAAAATGAAGCTGGCCACTCTTTACCCACCTGACTGTTCTTCGGGTCTGTCCCCTGTCCCCTCTAACTCATGTAACATGTAACATGAGGTTTTACAGCTGTACACTTGTGATGTGACAATAGTGTTTTTTCTGATGTCTGATTGTTGGCCTCATAAATGTCGCTAAATATTACAGCAGGGCTGTACAGTGCTACAGTCTTTATAGCATATGCTACTAGAAATGATCCCGTGTTAAGTGATATCTGTATCTACTGCACATGTGCTGGTGAGTTGTGAAAGGTTTCCAAGATATTACATCCAGGGTGTCTGCAGAGATTTAAAAAGTATTGAAAGCTGATTAATCAATTTAGTGAAAATTGAGGCTTTTAAGTTTAACATAGTCTAATATTCCTCAAATATTCCACAGTTGGTTTGGCATCCAGAGGTCACATGGTCAATAATAGCTTTATATGGAGAATAATAGCTTAGTTTTTTTTACATTTAAAAAGTCCTCAAAACTTATAGGCTACATAAGATATATTTCAAAAAGAAGTGTTGTGGCATGTGAGGAATATTAGCCTCTATGTTAAACAGTTGGTTTGACATCATTCACTCAAATAGTTTTAGCATATAATAGATACTTACTTTTCTTTTGAATGTCAAACGAATGTGAATGTCCAATAAACAGACCACTTTGTTCATAATCATATTAGCAGAAATAAATTTTTGACCAATGAAAACTGTGTGTGTTGATAATTGTATATTTCTGCAACTTCAACCTTTAGCTTGTTACACATAATGAAAGAGGCGTACAGACCTGTGCAGCCACAACAATGCGACATTATACATGAAATATATATATATATACAGTACAGGCCAAAAGTTTGGACACACCTTCTCATTCAATGCGTTTTCTTTATTTTCATGACTATTTACATTGTAGATTCTCACTGAAGGCATCAAAACTATGAATGAACACATGTGGAGTTATGTACTTAACAAAAACAGGTGAAATAACTGAAAACATGTTTTATATTCTAGTTTCTTCAAAATAGCCACCCTTTGCTCTGATTACTGCTTTGCACACTCTTGGCATTCTCTCCATGAGCTTCAAGAGGTAGTCACCTGAAATGGTTTTCCAACAGTCTTGAAGGAGTTCCCAGAGGTGTTTAGCACTTGTTGGCCCCTTTGCCTTCACTCTGCGGTCCAGCTCACCCCAAACCATCTCGATTGGGTTCAGGTCCGGTGACTGTGGAGGCCAGGTCATCTGCCGCAGCACTCCATCACTCTCCTTCTTGGTCAAATAGCCCTTACACAGCCTGGAGGTGTGTTTGGGGTCATTGTCCTGTTGAAAAATAAATGATCGTCCAACTAAACGCAAACCGGATGGGATGGCATGTCGCTGCAGGATGCTGTGGTAGCCATGCTGGTTCAGTGTGCCTTCAATTTTGAATAAATCCCCAACAGTGTCACCAGCAAAACACCCCCACACCATCACACCTCCTCCTCCATGCTTCACAGTGGGAACCAGGCATGTGGAATCCATCCGTTCACCTTTTCTGCGTCTCACAAAGACACGGCGGTTGGAACCAAAGATCTCAAATTTGGACTCATCAGACCAAAGCACAGATTTCCACTGGTCTAATGTCCATTCCTTGTGTTTCTTGGCCCAAACAAATCTCTTCTGCTTGTTGCCTCTCCTTAGCAGTGGTTTCCTAGCAGCTATTTGACCATGAAGGCCTGATTGGCGCAGTCTCCTCTTAACAGTTGTTCTAGAGATGGGTCTGCTGCTAGAACTCTGTGTGGCATTCATCTGGTCTCTGATCTGAGCTGCTGTTAACTTGCGATTTCTGAGGCTGGTGACTCGGATGAACTTATCCTCAGAAGCAGAGGTGACTCTTGGTCTTCCTTTCCTGGGTCGGTCCTCATGTGTGCCAGTTTCGTTGTAGCGCTTGATGGTTTTTGCGACTCCACTTGGGGACACATTTAAAGTTTTTGCAATTTTCCGGACTGACTGACCTTCATTTCTTAAAGTAATGATGGCCACTCGTTTTTCTTTAGTTAGCTGATTGGTTCTTGCCATAATATGAATTTTAACAGTTGTCCAATAGGGCTGTCGGCTGTGTATTAACCTGACTTCTGCACAACACAACTGATGGTCCCAACCCCATTGATAAAGCAAGAAATTCCACTAATTAACCCTGATAAGGCACACCTGTGAAGTGGAAACCATTTCAGGTGACTACCTCTTGAAGCTCATGGAGAGAATGCCAAGAGTGTGCAAAGCAGTAATCAGAGCAAAGGGTGGCTATTTTGAAGAAACTAGAATATAAAACATGTTTTCAGTTATTTCACCTTTTTTTGTTAAGTACATAACTCCACATGTGTTCATTCATAGTTTTGATGCCTTCAGTGAGAATCTACAATTTAAATAGTCATGAAAATAAAGAAAACGCATTGAATGAGAACGTGTGTCCAAACTTTTGGCCTGTACTGTATATATGTATATATATATGTATATACATGTATATATATGTATGTAACAAAGTGTGCGTGTAGTTAAATCTGTATTGATGCACTGCTCCAGCCACCAGCTGCCATTGCTCCGCCATGGTGTTTTGAATCTTGCTGGGCAGCGAGCATGTTGCATTTAAATAGGAGACTGATGAGGGCGGTAACATGCCGTGCAACATCTACGATGAAGAAGAAGACAAAGAAGAAGCCCACAGTGCATTTTGGGTAAGTAGTAGCCCTGCAGTATGCTCTGCCATCATACTACAATGTAGGCGTGTTTAGTAGGGGTGGGAGCATACTACTCCTCTCTACTACGGTTTCGGACATACTACATACTAATTTGGTCTACTACAATCCATACTACTTGGCCTTTCGGACGCAGCCCATGTGATGTTTGGTATCACCAGATTCAGGAAGCTCTCAGCTTCCGGAATCCGGCATCATTTTTCTTGTATTTCTTATGGATTTCGCACCAGAGCAGCCTACACACACAAAGTCCAAAATCGCAATGAGTGGTGACAAGCCATGTCATGCCGTTTTTCGAGGGGAAAAGTTAAAACTTTAACTCCGTGGATGAATACAAATATTTCTCACTGTTACACCTGTGTGTGAGCTGAAAGAGTAACTCTTTTGTCAATCATACTTTGACACACACTTTGGTTTCCCTCAGAGCTTCAACTTGGCTCCTAAACTTCGCTCAGTATTTCCTGCTTGACTGAAACATCACTTCCTTTCAGCTCCGTCACTGTAGACGCAGGATCGAGGGTTTTTACTTCCAACATTTTGCACTAGTGTTGATCTCAGCGTGAAGGCAGACCAACCAGAACGCTGCATCAGATCACACCCCAGGGAGTCAATTTTCATAGTGGCCAAACAGACGTACTGCAGTTTCTGAGTTCTGTTATGTGATGTCACTGGGCCCAAAAAGATGTTTCCTCACAGACTTAATTTGTCAAAGAGACGTCTGAAAAGTCATAACCCCTGAGAAAAGGCTTGTTCTGCTGTCAAGATTTAATTCATTCAGTCTGCCAATATTTGGAAAGCGGAGTGATGTCAGCTGCTTGGCCGGTGGAAGGTGCCACGTAGCCGCTCAGCCTCTCGGTCACTTGCCCTCACTCGGCCGTGCTCAGCAGTCCTTCTGCTCTGTGGGCCCGAAGATGCAGAAGTAGCGCTGATCATTCAGGTAATTTCATAGTATGGAAATAGAGCTTTTTAGGCGTCGTGCTCCACTGACCAACTTTCATAAGATTGAACGCGGCCCCGTCATCAATGCTGTATCCAGGTCCTGTATACATGGACCTGGTCCTGTATATTGCTTGACGCTTCTGTGTCTTTACCTGCTGATGTTATTAAATGTCAATGTTAAGTCGCCACTCTGGCAGCGTTTCTCATACATCAAGGAAAGAGCAAGAATGGAGCATGAAGTTATGAGAGAGCCACCAAAGAAAGACTGAGAACACTGATGCAGCTCAAAGAGATGAACACAAGAGACAACAACAACAGCTGAGTTCATGGTTCAGAGAATCCACAGAACAGTGATGAAACACAATGTGAGGTCAGAATAACATGAGGTTGTTTTCAAGTGTAGCTCAAAGTCTATGAACCTCTGATGTGAAACATTTAAAATGGAGAATTCCTCCAATTTTGAAAAATGAACTTCACCACTGGTGAACGGTTTCTGAGGTGAACAGAGGTTAAAGTACCGGTTACGTGACATGATTCAGATAGGTACCTCGAACCTTGAACAGCTACATTTAGAGACAGAAGCAGGCGAGCGTTTGGAAACAATACGCCCACAGTAAGCTTCAGAAAAGGCAAGTAATTAATCCAGATTAAATATCAAGCAACCTGAACTTGCTGTTCTCAAAGTAAACACTGTGATGAGGTTGAATTGTTTCCATATCACTAACTGGAGCTGCATCACATGCAGTGATGTAGGTTTTCATATTTTTCAACATATTTTTCTTTTTTCAAGCTTAAAAAAAAAAAGCAAAGCTGGATGAATTAAGCCTGTTGTAGCAGGGTGGCTCTGCACAGTCACCATCTTGACAGGATTATTGTTCATCTGCAACAATGTCTACAATGTGCCTGAAAACCAGGAGGAAAAAAAACTACAAAAACAAAAATCCCATATGTCTCATATTATCTTCAGCTGCGGAGTGAATTCTTAGAGACGGAGAGTTACCCAACCCTAACCCTTCCTTCTGTCGGAGTTACCTGTTACAACCATCTGCGTCTGCATTTGCAGTCTGATCTTGACGAGATCAACCGGAGCTCCCAGACCCACTGACACCAGTCCAGTCAGCATACTGGCCACAGTCAGGTCCACCATGCCGCAGGGATGCCGCCCGTCACCATAGCGATACTTGCTAATAAGTCTCTGTGTGTTACTGAAGAAGCCAAACACCACTGAGTTGTAGACGGTGATGGTGGCCAACGGGAAAGACATGCCTTTAAAGAAACCGGAGACCTGAGAAACACAAAGGAAGGAGTTACTGCATGTGATTGTGAATAAATCAAACCTGCAGTCTGAAGTTTAAACTCAGATTATTTAGGTCAGTGGCTGCGATGCAGAGAATGAAACATGGGCTGAAGCCAAATATTTTGTCTTTGTGGAAAGTATTCTCTGTGAGCAGCGGGGGAGAGACACATGCTGGGAGTTAAACACAGCTGTCTGTATAAATCTTGTGACCACTGAGAAAAGCAGATCTGTGGTTTCTGACAACAAGTTTTTACATTTTCTCTGCACACCACACTGTCCACCCCCTATAGACAATTGAATTGAACACAACTGGACTTAGTTTTGTCTTAGAAGACGTTTCACCTCTTATCCAAGAGGCTTCATCAGTTCATGCATGTCTGACTAGGCTGGAACTGGTCTGATGAACTGGTGTGGAAGCACCCAGGTATTTAACATCTGAGGAGGTCTTCACAAGGCCAATGATGTCACTGGTTCTTTAGTGCTCCAATGATGTGTCAACGACGGTCGTTGAAACTCCTGCTGCAACGGTGGTCGTTGGAGTCGTTAGAGTCACATGAGGCCATTTGTGAACGATCATTGTTTTTTAGAGGTTAAGTTGTTAAATCTCCTGGGCAAGGATGAAAGCACAGCATTATAGGTGGGAGATAGGTGGTGTCGCAGACCTCCTCCTCTATTGAGAGATGGTTTTTACATTTTCACATAGATGGCTTCTTTTACACCTCTTTCAAACCATCTGTCTTCCCTGTCCAAAATCCTTGGATAAGAGGTGAAACGTCTTCTAAGACAAAACTAAGTCCAGTTGCATTCAATTCAATTGCCTTGAGATAACTATGACCTGGATAAATGAGAATATCCACAGGCAAACACTGGAGACTCTTCTTTAGTTCTCACTGATTAAACACAGAATGAATCAGACATGTTTATCAGATGTCTGTTTGAACATGAACGACAACAGTCGCACTGCAGTTATTCAACTTTTTACACCCGTCCCTACCACGTGTTATTGTAAATCCCACTGCACTGTGATTGGCGGGTACTTCTCACATTGATGCATCAAGGTCAAACACAGTTCGAGCAAAGAGGTCATAATCAGGGCCAGTACCAGCCAATCACAGATATGCTCTCAGATTTAAGTTATAAATGTACAAGAAATACTAAATAAAGCCTGATTAAACTAAGTAGGACTAATTTACTGCAAGAAAATAAGGTGACGGCATCTAAAGAGCAACATGGTCCACAGAGGCCTTGACGGACCACAGAGGCACTGACATGGTCCACAGAGGCCCTGACAGACCACAGAGGCCCTGCCATGGTCCACACAGGCCCTTAAAGACCACAGAGGCCCTGACACGGTCCGCAGACACCCTGACAGATCACAGACATGGTCCGCAGAGGCCCCGACAGACCACAGAGGACCCGACACAGTCCACAGAGGCCCTGACACAGTCCGCAAAGGCCCTGACAGACCACAGAGGCCCTGACACGGTCCACAGACGCCCTGACAGATCACAGAGGACCTTGACACAGTCCACAGAGGCCCTGATACAGTCCGCAAAGGCCCTGACAGACCACAGAGGCCCTGACATGGTCCACAGACGCCCTGACAGATCACAGACATGGTCCTAAGAGGCCCTGACAGACCACAGAGGACCTTGACACAGTCCACAGAGGCCCTGACAGACCACAGAGGCTCTGCCATGGTCCACAGGGGCCCTGACAGACCACAGAGGCCCTGCCATGGTCCACAGAGGCCCTGCCATGGTCAACAGAGGCCCTGACAGACCTCAGAGGTCCTGCCATGGTCCACAGAGGCCCTGCCATGGTCCACAGGGGCCCTGACAGACCACAGAGGCCCTGACACAGTCCGCAGAGGCCCTGACAGATCACAGACATGGTCCACAGAGGCCCTGATATGGTCTACAGAGGCCCTGACAGATCACAGAGGCCCTGACACAGTCCGCAGAGACCCTGACAGATCACAGAAATGGTCCACAGAGGCTCTGAAACAGTCCTAAGAGGCCCTGACAGACCACAGAGGACATTGACACAGTCCACAGAGGCTCTGACAGACCACAGAGGCCCTGACATGGTCCACAGATGCCCTGACGGGCCACAGAGGCCCTGACAGACCACAGAGGACCTTGACACAGTCCACAGAGGCCCTGACATGGTCCACAGAGGCCCTGACAGACCACAGAGGCCTTGACACAGTCCGCAAAGGCCCTGACAGACCACGGAGGCCCTGCCATGGTCCACACAGGACCTGACAGACCACAGAGGCCCTGACACGGTACGCAGACGCCCTGACAGATCACAGACATGGTCCGCAGAGGCCCCGACAGACCACAGAGGACCTTGACACAGTCCACAGAGGCCCTGATACAGTCCGCAAAAGCCCTGACAGACCACAGAGGCCCTGACACGGTCCACAGACGCCCTGACAGATCACAGACATGGTCCTAAGAAGCCCTGACAGACCACAGAGGCCCTGACACGGTCCACAGACGCCCTGACAGATCACAGACATGGTCCTAAGAAGCCCTGACAGACCACAGAGGACCTTGACACAGTCCACAGAGGCCCTGACAGACCACAGAGGCCCTGATATGGTCCACAGAGGCCCTGACACGGTCCGCAGATGCCCTGACAGACCACAGAGGACCTTGGCACAGTCCACAGAGGCCCTGACAGACCACAGAGGCCCTGCCATGGTCCACACAGGCCCTGACAGACCACAGAGGCCCTGATATGGTCCACAGAGGCCCTGACACAGTTCACAGAAGCCCTGACAGACCACAGAGGACATTGACACACTCCACAGAGGCCCTGACACGGTCCGCAGATGCCCTGACAGATCACAGACATGGTCCACAGAGGCCCCGACACAGTCCTAAGAGGCCCTGACAGACCACAGAGGACCTTGACACAGTCCACAGAGGCCCTGACAGACCACAGAGGCCCTGACATGGTCCACAGAGGCCCTGACACAGTCCTAAGCAGCCCTGACAGACTGAGCCAGTGGTCAATGTCAGGACATCGGTGAGCAATTGCCGTCCTTGTTTTTTGCGATGTGTCCCGCACCGTCGGCACCACTCGGCCTTAGTCATCTGTTTTGTCGTTAATTTGACACATTGAATCAGCGACAAAGGCGTCAGAGCCCGTCAGTCAACAAACTCCCTTTGACAAGCAGGAAGTGAGTTGAGTAAAGGAGGAGCTAAAGTCCAGAGAGAGTGAGACCAAACCAACTTGTTCCATGAGGTCAGATTATTTATCTCTTTAGCAGAAACGCTTCCTGATGGTTTGTGTTATTGTTCACTGGCACACAGTAAATATGCTGTGATTGTATTGTTCATGTGCTAACTGGCTAACTAGCATCAAGACGCTCTTCCTGTTTCCCTTTTTCAATGATGAATACAGACGACCACCGTCTGCTCTAATCTTTGTGGTGCATTCATGCAAAGTCAGTTTTTATTGCTGCTAGCTAGGCCCATGTGAATCAACATTGGCTTATTTTTTTTAGACTTGATTGACTTCTGAGGTTCAGTTTCAGGATGTTCGGAGCTGTTGAAGGTTCGCTGTAGACTAAAACTTCAGAGAATATCTGAACAGTCTCATGATCAAAGTAAGTACCAGTATGAGAGATCTTGAGATATCATGGTCACGTGAATCAGATGGACAGGCGAACACACGGACAGACAAACATGAAAACATCATGTCTCAGCAAAACTGAACCAAAAACATGGCAGAGTTAATTAAGAAGTAAAACACCACAGGTGTGGATTAGGACCCTGATGTCCTGTCCAATAACTGCAGGAAAAAAATAATTTTTAAATTAATCAAACATGCAGATTTAGTGATTTAGACCAAGTCCATTTGAATCATTTATTTTAACTTTACCGTTTCCTTCCTGTAGATGGTGAGGATGCAGTGTAGAGTGTTTCTGTAGCCTTTTCCCGCCTGAAGCCGCGTCTGCAGCAAACAAACCACTTTTAGTTTTATAACCAGATAAACCACAACAGGAAGTCAACGTCTCGTCCACTTTGTAGCTGGCTTCTGTTAAATTAGCATCACCCGGACAATGAGTTTTTTATTCATAGATCTCTCTTCATTTGCTGTCATTGTTAGCAAAGTACTGACGGAAAAAGTTACAGCGAGGTTAAAGAGATGTTCAGATATGATGTTTCTGTTTAATGGAGGCTATTTATCTTAGAAATCGAGACAGAAAAAACAAACTCTGGAACATGTTTCAGTCTTTTGAGAGACGACCTTGAGATTTAAAAACCAGCAGAACAGAAGCTAACGTGGAGTCGGGACCGTCCTTAAGCTCATTTATTTAGATAAAGCACCAAACTAACAAATGGAGCCAAAACTACCACGTCAGCTGCAACATCGTGTTTAATGTGGAAACTTCGTAGCTCCACGTCACTTCATGGACATCGGTTTGTCAGAGTTAGTTTTTCCTCAGTGTGAATTAAGGGGTAAGATAATGTGTTCAACATGGCACATGAACTCTTATATAATGATAAACTGCTCTTGCACAACAAATAAACCAGATTGTGTCACTGAGAACTAACAAACTTCAGCTGCAGAATTCTTTTATATAGTCATTGCTTTAATCAGGACAAGACAGTCATAAAGAGTCGAGGAATGGTGTGGTAAAATGTTGGCACGATACCTTCACTGTGTCAAGCGGATGGCCCACGACCACACTGGACGCTCCTGCAGCCAAAAGACAAAGAAACAAAATGAAGCAGAAAATAGCAGGGGAAGAAAAAATCGAGATAAATGTTTCCATGAAAACTGTTTCCCATAAAGTCGAAGGTTGAATGAGGACAGTGAATGTCTCATTTATTCATTCATTCTACAGACTGAATGTTGTTCACCCAAAAAACTGCAGTTCATATTTATTAACCTTCTTAACTTATACTGACCACATTTTAATGTTCCTGTTCTGATGTGAACATTGTGGAACCTTGTTTTGTGTTGAAATTCACACCGTTAACTTCCATTAAATACACAAACAAAGAGAAGACATGAGCTCCCTGCTGAGACAAAGCTTTGTCTCCTTTAGAGGACGATGGCCGGTCATCACGGGACCCCTGTGCCCTGATTAACCTGCTGTTCTGACTGTTCTCTGTGCATTGTGTGAGTCTGTCACCATCTCTGAAACAGTCTTAAAATACCAACACAGTAACAAATAAAGTTTCTCCAAAGTGACCCTAATAATCATTTTAATCTTCTCTTATAGATTTACTGTGACATTACACAGTATTATTTTATGACACATATTGTTTGAAGTAAGAGAAGAAATTCAGGTAACTGATGAGCGTGTTTGTTTTAACTTAGCTGAGTCCAATTCTAAAGTCTCAGTCAAGACATAAAATATAAATAATGAGATGTGAACTAAAGGTTAACGTCAGTGACTCTGAGATGACCCCGAGTTAAACTAGGGACCTGGGGTTTATGGCAGGGACCTTTTGGGGCCATCCACTAAATTTAAAACTACGACAGCTTTTATTTCCTGAGAGTTGAATCCTGTATTTAAAACACCTTCCTGAGATCTGGGAAACAACAGAGTTTTGGACGAGTCGTTGCAGCTTGTCGTCCAAGATGAGAAGAAAGAAATGTATTTGTCCTGAAGGAGAGTGATGAGTTTAAGTTTATTTACTTTATTAATCCCCCTGACGGGAAATTCAATGTTTTCACTCTGTTTGTCAATTACACACAGGTCCGAAAGACACACACATGCACAAACAGGACCTATACATGCACAAAGTGGAGAGATGTCAGAGTGAGTGGGCTGCCCTTGGTGAGGCGCCCCAAGCGGTTGGGGGGGTCGGTGCCTTGCTCAAGGGCACCTCGGCAGTGCCCAGGAGGTGAACTGGCACCTCTCCAGCCACCAGTCCACGCTCCATATTTTGGTCCGGACGGGGACTCGAACAGGTGACCCTCCGGTTCCCAACTCAGGTCCCTATGGACTGAGCTACTGCCGCCAGCAGCAGCAGTAACAGTTAGGGTTAGGGTTAGGGTTCAGGAACAATAAAAATATGAAATATCAACATGCAGCAAATCCAGAATAAATACATAGTAAAAAACACTGAAAACAAACTTGTTCATTGAATTCTACATTTTTTTTTTTTGTTTAATTTAGGCCAAATTTGAACTTTTCTCTGAAAGAATCCACAAAGACTTTTGTGTTTTAGTGTGTTTGCAATTAGGTTTGTTTTTTCATAATTTTTCAGGATTACTGACACAAATTTGTTGTTCAGGATTTAGCTCAGCTCGTCAGCAGCTTCTTTTTCAAAACTTTTATTATCCTGAGCACTTTCACGTTTACATACCTCTGTTGGTTTGTTTTAGTTTATATGGATCATGGATGGTACTCACCAGGTTATTATATTTAACTAAAACTAAAACTACATATGAATAATGGTTTAAAGTTAAATGAACAATAAAAAATAGATTCAAGGTGTGTGTGTGTTGTGACGCTCAGTCGTCTACATGAATCAGCTGCATTCACACAGAGTTGTTTGTATTGTTGAATAATTCTGACAAACAGCCTCCATTTTATAATCACAAAATAAACTGAATAAATAGAACATAAACTTAAATGAGAATCAACTGAAACTAAACTGAAAACAAAAAATTAAAGATGAAATAAAAAAAAGAATAACACAAACTATGTTCTGTTTAAATGCAACATTTGGATCCAGATGTGTTTGAGTCACTGTTTCCTTTTACTCATGTTTGTTTATTTATTTATTAAAATGAGCTGCAGCTGTGTGGTGATAATAAACAGGACAACAACATGGACTCAGTTTTAGAGGCCTGTCACTGAAAACGCTGCAGTTGCAGTGCCCCTGGCGGTCAGACGGCTCACTGCACCTATTACACTTTAAAAAACATTTTCTCATAAGAATTAAAAATAAAATAAAAGCTAAAATTTAAAAAGTCTCTGAAAGAGTTTCTGAACTCATTAAACTGATGTCTGTCTGAGAGCTGAGGGTCAAACTCAGGAGGTGATTTATCAGTGAGGGAAAAAGAGGGGGTGCAGCATTGCTCGGAACCCCTCCTTTGTTTACACATATGTGTGTGTGCATGTGTGTGCGTGCGTGTGTGTGCGTGCGGGGGGGGGGCTCTCCTGCAGGAAACCTTTCAGATTGTGGCTGTTTGTAAAGTTTTTAAGTTTTGTTTCATTTCATCCAGAAATGCAGAGAAGAGAAGCGACCATCCCCCACCCAGTCCCAACCCCCCACACTGACCCTCTAACCCAGCACACACTCACACACACACCCACACACACACACAGACCCTCTAGCCCAGCACACACACACACACACACACACACACACACAGCCTGTGTAAAAACTCACCGCCAATCCATCCTGCGATGAAATCATCCAACTGAAAACTCTTTGAGTTTTTCATCTTCACGTTAGAGCTGCTGTCCAAACTTCAGCCGTGTGCTTCTCATCAGTCAGCCAATCAGAAATGAGCAGGACACCGACCAAGCTGCAGCTTTTATTGATACCGATGTGTTCGGGACTGTTTCTGAGAAAAGAAAAGAGACATTATGGAGGGGGAGCTGTGATAACAGAAAGCTGCAGAGAGGTTGGCACAGACAGCCAATCACAGCACAGCTACAATCTGCAGGACAGCTGTGTTATCCAATTAGGGGCGAGCTCTCCAAAGTCTCACAGCCTATAAAGACATGGTCATGGAAATGAGCCATGAGGTGGAGAGCTCATAATACACACTCTTCTGTAAACTTACAAATAAAATAAAGTTTTGTTTTTTTTTCTAAAAAAAAAAAAAACATCTGTAAACTGTAAAAGTAAAAGATACGTGCAGATATTTTGACTTCTTCAAACATGTTCAAATAAAAATATCTTTAAAATCTTATACTGGTCACCAGAGGCGTCGACTCGAGTCAAATGATTTGGACTTGAGTCAGACCCGAGTCATAACTTGAATGACCTGGCCTGACTTAGACTTTAACACCAAGGACTTGTGACTTGGACTTTTGACAGTAAAACACTTGATATCTTCCACCATGTCCAAACTTATGTTCTTTTTTAAAGTGTCCCATGAATAAATTATTTTTCTGTTTCCTGAATCATTTCATTCGAGAATGCCGTCGATTCTCAGATGATCCACTTTAAACCGAGCTGAAAACTTCGAGTCACACTGTGGGAGAGAGATGAATGAAGAGCTAAGATTAAGTTACTGAGCGCCGGCTGGAAAACAAGAAACCAAAGATCATTTAGTTCATGAACAAAAACTACGTGATAGTCAAAAAAAGAAGAAAAAAAAGGAGCTGCAGTGTGTGAATCACATCAGTCAAAGGTCACAGAGAGGAGACAAGATGATACGATACAAGACAATCCAACGAGATGAAACGAGACGGTACGATACAAGACAATCCAACAAGACAAGGCGATATGAGATGATCCAATGAGACAAGACGAGATGATCCAACGAGACAGGATGTGATGAGATGAGATGAGACAATACGAGACCAGAAAACAAGACAAGAAAACTTCCAACAAAGTTTATTAGCAAAAAAAAAATTCACATTTCAAAAGGGTTTGGGTCATAAATTCCTGCTCTCTTGTTAAATTAATTTGATGACAAGGACATCATTATTTCATCAGGACTCAAAACTCAAAGTTTATGACTTTGGACTTGAGTGCAGAGACTTTAAAATGACCTTTAAAATGAAGCAACGGTTTTTAAACATCATCGAGATTAAGAAAATAAAATCTGATTTGATAAGAAAAAACTTCCACAGTCTGAGGTTTTAAAGTGAAGTAAAGATTCATTTCAAATCCCAGAGGAGACGTCAGGTCTTAAACCAAACAGCTCCAGTCTTGAGGTCAGGGCGTCGGTCAAGGACGGCGGCGGGAGGATTTCTGACGGCTCACATATATGTAATAATTAACATACAATAGGTAACCAGCACACCTGGAGAAAACAAACCCAGTGAGCCATGATGGGGGTCAAACTCTGAATGTCTCCTCTGCGTCTCTGTAAACATTGATGTGTTGGATCTGTCTGAAATAAAAAAAAAAAAAAGTCTCACAGAAATATGTGACATGGACGTGACCACGTGATGTCATGTGGTGGCATGAAAACAAGATGACACTGTCACAGTTTCGGTTTCTGGAGAAGAAAAACGTGTTTTGGGGTTTAAAGAAGAAAACAATAAGTTCAGGGAAATATTGTGGTTTCCGTTGAAATAACAACGTACAGCCAAAAATAACGGAAACGTATTTACTGTGCATGGTTACATAAAGTTCGTAAAGTGATGTCACTGCGGTGACCCTTGGTTTCACGCGAAACAGAGCTGAAAATTTTTTATCTACGACGACACTCAGTGTGAGGCGACAGAATAAAACAAACTTCATCAGAGCATTCTTTGAAATAAAATGATCAAACATTATAAAAGTAAAGTTCAGGAAACACTAAACATCTTCATCATCATCTTCATCTTCATGGTCACAGTGACCAGGAACTAAAGAACTGTGTCAAACAGCTGATTCGTCTCTCTGAAGTTTATAAATATTTACAGACATGCTGCTGTTTCTCTTTAAAGGGTTCTTCTGTAGAGTTTAAATTTAACAGAAAATAAAAAAATAAATAATTTACAGTGTTTTCATTGGCCGACTCACTGAAGCCAAAACGCCACAACTTTTTTCAGCTGGAAAAGTCGATGATGTCACAGATGTTTTTCTTTTAGGGTCACATGGTTCAGGACTTTCAGGAGGTTTTTAACTGTTTGAAGTCTGTTTAACTATAATATAAAATAATTCTCTCTGGAACATAAGTGAAAAAGTAAAATGTTTCTTAAAATGAAAAATAAAAAAGTTTCAGAATATTAGAAAAAGATGTAAATCCATATAAATAAAAACATATTTCTCTCAGTTTCTTTAAAAAAAAGGGGAAATTAAAGGGGAAACTCAACATGTGTAAACACACACAGAGTCTCCATCAGAGTTCATGTGTCACAATTGTTGTTGTTGTGGTTGGAGATGACTCGCCCCCCCCCCCGTCCTCCTCCACCTCCAGACAAACCCAACTCCACCCTGCGATGATAAGACGCTGATAACACGCACACACACACACACACACACACACACATTTTCACACTTTGTGGAAAATTACCAGAGAAAAGCTGGTCTGACCTGCAGCAGGAAACAAACTGCTGTTTCTCATTTCATCCAAATGTTTCTGTCCTTCAACAGGCTCATATGAAGAAAGAAACACCGACTGGTTTTAACCCTGATCCAGAACACTGGTTCTCAACCTGCGGGTCCCGACCCCCATCATGGGTCACTGAAGCTTCATGAGGGCTCACAAGGTCATCATGATTTTAAAATGCATAAGAAAACTTTTAGAAAATATATATAATAGGTCTGTTTCTCAGCACTTCATTGTTTTCTGTCAGGAACACTCAATGACTACACATTAAATCAGGATTCATTATCACTGTCTGCTCACACTGTGAAAACTGTTTTAATAAAAACAAATACAAAATAAAAACTTTTATCTTCAAAGATAACGAGTCACGAGTGAAACGAGTCACATCATCACAGCTGCTGTTTGGTGTCACAACTTTCAGGATTCATAAACTACAACTTTCAGGATTCATAAACTACTGTGACCATTAGATGAAAACGTTTCCTGTGTAACAGCAGTTTGTTGTTTTGGTACGATGTGACTTGTTGTAGTTCAGTTCAGGTTTGGGTTCAACAGTCCGATATTTTGGGAACTCTTCAGCAGGGTGAAATGAGGAGACAGATATCAGATTCATGTCTGAGCTGTCAGAAGCTCCAGTGTTTCTTTACAGAGATATCTGCTCCTGAACGTCCAATCAGCTGCAAGATAAACAAAGTTAATTTGTGATATTTATGATGATGTTAGGCTAACAGTTCCCTCTGCTTCCAGTCTTTGTGTTAAGCTAAGGCTTAACATGACCTGGACCTACAAACATGAAACATTCTTGTCTAACAGAGTTTGTACAGTTTTATATTTTTCATTATTTTTCATTTATTTTTTTTATTAATATTATTTTTTATTTTAAATGTTTATTTTAAGCTCAGTTTAATTTTAGTTATATTTCTACGGCGGGTCTGCTCCTTTCAGCTTAGTTTTTATTGTTTAGTTTTAGTAGAGTTTTTATTAGTTTTAGTTTTATCATATGTGGGGGAATATTATTATGATACAAACGCAGCACTTTGTCATGTAAACGTCCCAGCGTCAGTAAACGCCTCCTCAGGCTGGTGTGTTGACCAAACGGACGCAGAATAAAACTGAAGACATTTCATGTGTGTCTTTATTTATCTTAGTAGGTTTTTTCTTTTTGTTTTACTCCTCGTAATCATTTCTCTTTTACGTGAGATCATTTGCTGAGTGACATTGTAAAATCCCAAACACGTTGAGGTTAAAAAGAGACTTAAATAAAAAACACAGATATTGACAGATAACCTGCACATTCACGCCAATGCATCAGTTCCCTCCTGCTGAGACACACGTGAGTCAAGTCTCTCCATATTCAGGCTTGTTTCACAGGAAGGGAGACGGGTCGTCACGGGTTGGCTGTGGTCAGTGAGACGACACTGTTGCCCACTTGAAGGCACGATTTTGGCCATGCTCTGGAACAGGTCCATCTCTGGCATGGCTCAGCACGGCTCAGCACTTCGTAATGAATAATAGAAAGACAAATTGGCCCGGCATGGTTTAACAGCACGGCCAGAAGTAGTCATAGAACAAGTTTATTAAACTCTCACCTGAAGATGTCTGAATGAAAATGAGTTCCAACAAGTCTCCAATAAACCTGAGAAGATCTGTTCCCAGTAAATGTTTTGGTCCTTACAGTCCATGTTCTCCATCACACTAAAGCTGGAGTTGTGTCTTTGTGACGAAAAGGAAATCCAGCCTCTCTGAAGATCATGTGACACGTGTAGAAACATATATACATATAGTTATATACAGATATATAACATGAAAACAAGATTGTTCAGTCTGATCACATCAGATTATTAATAACATGAACACAGTGAATCAGTCGGAGACTCCGTCACTGACACGGTTTTAAACTTCAGCAGCTTCAGTGAATTAAATTTAGTGCTGTTTTTTAGTTTTGGTGGATTTCAGTGGATCCATGTGACCCTCATGGAGAAGCTGTCGACAGACAGCACGTCTCATGTGCGTCACATGTCAGTAACTGATGGTCTCCACCCTGTTGACCAGCTGTAATACCTCAGGTCAGATTAAACTGTTCACACCTCCACTCTGATGTGTCACACTGCTTATCTCAGATCTGTGACTACACTGATTTTAGTCACATATAAAATATTTGAAATACCAGACTGACTGTGGACAAAGAGCTCAGACAAGAAACGAGCGTGAACCACATCTTTTTATTTCTCTGGACAGGTTAAAGATATTAAATTAGATTAATTAATATGAAAATTGCTCAGGATTTGTGTTCTGTTTTTATTTGTTTGTTTAAAAAATAAGAATTCAGTTAATAACAAAATGTGTTTTATGAACCTCAGACAACTGTTGGGATTCACAGGACCACAGAGACCATTTGGTAAAATCTAAACGGAACATTTAAAGGCTTTTTCCTCTGTGTGCTCTTTGTCTTCAAACAAAGAGAGCTATGTGACACCCATCTCCACAGGAGGTCTCACCTCACAC